ACTCAGAAATTTATTTTTCCAAAGTTTATAGAAACTTAGTATGAGAGTCTACAAAAAATCCATTTATGAGATAATGAGTTCGAAAATGAAATAAACTCAAAACAGAAATTTGTCTGTAATGGAACTTTAGGTGTGAATTGTGGGAAAAAGAAATGGAAATCAATGAGATGAAAGAGCAGATGAAGGAAGTTGTTGGCGTTTTACGTCAAAGCGAACTCAGGAGAAAAGAAGTGGAAAAAGAGCTTAAATATAGAGATAAAGCTGCTCCCATCGCACCGGCAACACCGCCTCAAGTGAGATCTTTTTTTCTTTTTCTTTAATGACGTCTTTGTAATATTCTTTCCTTTTACACTCTTCCTTATGCTTGTGTTAATGAATGTTACTGGACCAGGTCAACTCTCACAAGCACAATGCTGATGACACGAGTGATCCTTTGTCTCCAATTCCGGTGCCAGCTCAGAAACAATTGAAATATACTGCAGGAATTGCAAACGGCTCAGTTAGAGATTCAGCTGCATTCATGGATCAAACTCGAAAGGTTCACCTTCTACTTCTTATATTCCATGTTTTGCTTTGTGGCATCATTTTTCCCTTGAGGTCATTACCAAAAAAAGGAAGGAAATGAAAAGGAAAAAAAGAAAAAACAAATAGAAAAGTAATTGTTTTGGCAAAGTGCAGATGGTACCTATTGGCCAGCTGTCGATGAAAAAATTATCACTGGCGAGTCATGGCGGGAAGCTATGGAGATGGAAAAGGAGTCATCATCAGTGGTTATTACAGTTCAAATGGAAATGGCAAAAGCCTTGGAGACTTTCCGAGTGGATTAAGCACAGCGATGAGACGATCATGAGAGCTAAGTCTCGTCCCCAAGCTCTTCCCAATGTCATGTATAGAAAGGGTCGCTAGTTTTATCGGTACATAAAAAAATACATGCAAAATATTTCATGACCCGTTTTGTCCCCTCCAAACACGGAGAGGAAGATGGAATGTTGTAACTACAGGTAAATTTTCATTGTTGTCCTGCTTTTTTTTTTTTTTTCCTNTAGAAAAGAAAATATATTGTCATTCATAGTTTTAGATTTTGAACAGTGGCATGTTAGTTTTAGTTGTCCTTTGATTGGATCAAAGTTTTGGTCTTGTATTTATTTATTTTTGTACCATTTCTATAGCAGGTGTTTTAGGTGTGGATGCATAAGGAGTAATGGTGTGTTGGCCCTTGGGATTTTGTAGCTCAAGTGGATCAAAGTAGCTGTTTTGGTGAAACAATATGGCTTTGGTGGTAATGGATATCAAGTGATACTTCAAGTATTTGTATATACAATAATCATTCTCAAGCCATGAAAGGGATTTTAATAAAATCACAGTTTGGGTAACTTTTTTTTTTTTTTNTTTTTTTTTTTTTTTCCTTCTCTTCTTGTTTTCCCTTGCTTTGTATTTTCGATCGCTCTGTATATTTGTGGCTAATTAGCCTTGTGCGTATTGCATAGAAGCAGTCTACTGATTTTGTTCAAAATAGGTTTAGTTACTACTAGGTGTGATGAAGATTCGTTTTCTATTTTTTGTTTGGCTATAGTGTAATTCTGAAGGAAAAGAACTTGGCCACATTTTTTATGTGTACTTACTATGTGTTGACTACTTAGTGAATAAGATTTACCTTCTTGTCCGTCTTGTTTTTGTTGGGTTCTGTGAAGAACGTTGATCTATGTCCACATCACAAATCCTAGTAAATTTATTTTTAGCGCAACAAATTCTATAGCTAAGATTAGAGACTTACCGTTTAAAATTTTACCGACTCTATGAAGACATACTCGGCCTATGGGGCCGAACGAATAATTTTGGGTTGTTCTTCATACCAAACTTCTCGTCACCTCGTTTCGTTGTGCACACGCTATCGTCGATCGTCGACTCAGAGGTGCACCTCGCCAACTATCGTGGATTGCCGCCGTCGGGGTTGGTTGCGCGAAGTCACAAGTGATATTCTATTTTCCATGTATGAACGATGCGGGACAACTCACAAGTAATATTCTAGCACGTCCCTTCACTTGTGAGTCCTTCGAAAGCCCAAGCCCAACTGGGCTGGGAAACGGGTACCCCGGTCACCAATAGAATCGACTCTGATACCATGACAGAAATTGGAGGAAAATGAGTGCGAGCCCACTATCATGAAGCGCACCATGGAAAAATGGGAAGAGCCCATATGAAGTCCAAGTTGGGTTCCATTCCAAAACCAATTGGCGGAAAAAGAAGTAGCTCATTAGTCTTATAAAGTGAGTCTATTTTCCATGTATGAACGATGTGGGACAACTCACAAGTGATATTCTAACAAAATCACCTCCACACTCAACCTACTTGGAGGCTATTTCACCCGAGCTCCCTGGAGGCTGATTCACCGAAGCTACCTGGAGACTAATTCACCTGAGCTACCTAGAGGCTGATGCACCTGAGCTACTTGGAGGCTAATTCACCCGAGCTACCTATAACCAACTTACCTCTAGTTACCTGAGCTAACTAAGGTCGGTTGGTCCCAAGCTGCTCTATATGTTATATCAACCCTACTTACAGTGACGGATCTAGAAATTTCACTCAGGGGGGTCCGATTTTAAATGTTATAAAATAACGAGCTTGCTGTTTTAGTTGGAACGCTCATTTCATATAAAAATGTATTCACTATAAATATAAATATCGATATATGTACCATCAAGTTTTTAAAAACTTATAATCCGTATCACCCTCAAATTTTCCTTCAAA